TTGAACTTTTGGTCGCTCCTACAAAAGGGGTGCCCGGAATCGGAAGCCAGCAAGGGCCAGGCTTACTAGTAGCCAAAGAAGAGTCGATTAGAACTCAGGAAAGGTTCCGTGGGATCAGGGGAGATAATATTGAACTCCCACCTGCGAAGGGGCGGATGGCGAAAAGCTATTCTTTGGGTTCGGGCAACTACATGTTCTTTTGGTGAACGATCGTGACGAACCAAGGCAAATCGTAATGGGCACTCCTTCGTCGTTGCCTGCCTCACTGATGTGGGCAAATCTCACTTTGATAGAAGATGCACATGTGGTGGAGTGTAGCTGAGGATGACAGCTGGATGGCGTGGAAAGGGTTGCACCAGAAAACTGGTTATGCGCATTAAACTGCCGGTACCGTATCTGGGCTACACAATAATTCTAGAAAGGTTGGGAAAACATCAATTTCCTGTATATCATTACACATACCGTAGGTACATCGGCTTGATGTGCTCACTCGTCAGCAGCAATCCAATGCTACAGAAGAACAAGATCCCAAAACCAACCAACCTACTTCTCTGCGAAAGCAACCCACAAATTCAAAACATGCATAGCTTTCTACTCTCTGGCCTGTGTCCATTCGAATGATGACAACAACGTGACCGTTCGTTTCACATTGCTCGCCCTAGACTTTCTCTCTCGAGCTTGTGTCTCATTGCTGCATCTTATGAGGCTGTGTCGTCAGGCATCTTGCACCCAGTGTCACCAATGGCTTCACACACAAAGTCGCCATTGGCAATGGTACCAAGGCACACACTCCTACAGAAACCAACATTGAATGGAACACCCTTAGGGGCCTTAGCGAGCCCGTGACCCTTCTACTCGAACAGGGGGCCAGTAGTGCCCCCTGTCATTCTGAGTGAAGTAAAAGCAAGCCCTCGGCGCAGTAGACAAAAATAACAACTACTAATCATTGTGACAAACAAAAAAATGGTACCAAGGCACACTTGGCGCGTCTAGATTTCAGCATTTGGAACGAGTCGACGAGGTAGCCTTGAAAAGCATCATATCTCGTCTTCTCCTTCACCGAAAAAAGGATGTCGTCACAACTGAACGAACCCGGATCAGTCATGTATTCCACATAGGACTTCACAGCCATATAGTCGAGAATCATTCCAAGAGCCTCAGAAACCGCAAGCTTGAGCAGAGGGAAGCCATCCCGACTGGCAGCCACTGTTACGTCGTCACTCGCGTCATACTCAAAATCTATCAATTTCTCCGCAATAGCGAGGTGCATCGCATCAATGATTCCTTCCAGGCTTCCGAGCAGATCAAAGCGGATCCCGTCGATCTCTGGCGTGGCCTCGGAGAAGTATTCCTTGGCCGTGTTTGCCCATGACCTGAGGTAGTTTTCAGAGTTTGCCGTGATGAGATCGGAGGCTCTTTGCACATTTTGCTCAGCCTGCGAGTCAGTTATCATTACGCGAGTTCTTTCATGCATTTCTTTTGCGAAATGTTTCAAAATTTCTGCCTGGGAATTGTCTGGGAACCCTTCGTTGAAGGCAATAATTGCAATGCTTGCTTTGGGGCAATAACAGAGGAAGAAGAAAGTATCAGTTTGAATGTCGAGGTACTTGAAACAACAGGAGTGCCTGTTTCTCCTACCGGTACCTGGTACACCCACTCGATGACCACAGCTTCGCCCTTTGCGTGTGCGTCTCCTCGAGCGGTAGAACCAGAGAAGAAGGAGCCTGTAGTCTAGTCGAGCAGAGTAACCGTAACGCTACTCACCGGCTGTCGAGACATGGAAGTTCTGAGAGTACGTATAATACGTAATCGAGTTTGCCACGAAGTCCCTTGTCATTTGTTTCATTGATGTGTGCGTGTTCAGGAGCGGGATGGGAACTACTCCCTTTTCATCGACAGGGATATAGTCCGTAAGCGCCGTGAACCGAAATACTCTAGACTCTTGATCAGTGCTGTCGGCAGTAATATAATCATTGCTGTTGAAATCCAGGCCAGCATAAAGTCCACCTCCGTATTCAGCAAAAATCTTAAACTTCCGTGGACCAGCAGTGAGGGCGCGGATTTTCACGCGCTTGCTCCCAGTGGCTGATTTCGCAAATGTGCCAACGATTTGATGAGTTAGTTGACTCATGCGACGTGTCTCCTTTATCTCTCCAACCATACCGTACCTTTGGTGAAAGTTACAAACCAAGGGCCACCAATATGAGGACCTTGTTGTTGAAACCCCGCCTTCCGGCCGGTCCCTCGATTGATCATTTCGTACAGGCCTTCTCCATTGCCAGCATCACCGATGTAGACAAATCTCCAACTTTCTAGAGTAGTAGTATGACGGAGGAGTGAGTACCAGGTACATCACATACAACAGAGCTGGGCATGCGCAATGGGATCGCAGTGGGTTACACGGACACTGGACGAAAGCTTACTGGAAGAATTTGTTCGTACGTCTAGTGTCTGCATTGGTAGAAGCTGCTTTGGTCTTTCTAAAGTTATCCCAAATGGTGGAAGTATGTTGTGGCTCATTGGTTGCTGAATTTAGGCGCAAGCAATCCATCAATGATGAGCAACACTAATCCAGCAGCGCACTCTTCGCTCGACAGCTAACTTACCTTTCACGTATTTGCCGCTCCTGCATGAAAGGAAGGAACGTAGCTCTTGAAGACTTGGAAACAAACATGCGTAGACAGGATCAGACATTCGATGCACTTACTCTCCCTTTTCTACAAGGTAATAAATGTTGGGATTGAAGAATCCTTGGTTGCTGGTCAGTTGTCGATGGCTGGAAGCCGTGGTAGCGTTAGAAGCACAGAGAAACATGTGCGCCTCCTCTTGGGTGTTTGCTGCTGCCACAGTACTGAGTACAGTCGGAAGCAACACGGCTCTCAACAAGAACAGGTAGCGCATCGTTTGATATCTTTGGAATCGCAGAAGGATCGTGCGGTCACGTGGTCGTGTGGTCGTGTGGTCGTGTGGTCATGTGGTTGTGTGGTTGTTTGGCTGTTTTGATGTTTTGATTGCAGGGCTTCAAAACTTTGTGTGTGCAGAAATGGAATGTTTGGAAGGTCCGTACTGGTACCACCCAAGTCGGTTGTACTACCCTAGTACCTCCCTTCGACGTACCGGTACATCGTACCACCCAAGTCGGTTGTGCAGGAATTTCACGTGTCGGATTGGAAACCTCATTCTCGAGTATCTAAAAAGTATCCACGACATCGACAGGTCAATACACGTAATTGATGACACTACTAGTAACCGGTACGGTACGCTTCGAATCCTCAATTTCCACGGTCAGCTGTACAGGCTGTGTACCGGTATCCACGATGGTGGGGAGTGCTGCTGATGAAAATAAAAGGGCCCAGAAAAAACGAAAGCTCTAAGGCAGCTTCCGCTTCAAAGAAATGACACCGTAGTTTGTTGGAGCTAAGCTGGGCCTGCCAAAAGAGACCTCAGCTAGCCACTACAGCTGTAGCTACCGGTAGCTAGCTAGCAGGGAGGTTTGAGCAATACGTTTACAAAGCTCCCCAACTACCTCAAAGAACAACTACAGCAAGACGAGGTGAATTTCTTTCATGGGCATATCGGTTGCGCCGTGTTATTCCGTTTGTCCGTCATCAGCTCTTACAGGAATGCTAGAGGGGTCCTGGCCAACCATCTACTCTGAGTAGTCAACTGCTTGCTTCCACGCTTTTGCTTTTATTAGTGTGGCACACTGGTTGCCTTGTATCTACAGTGAGATCTACCGGTATGGGCACCTCCACCAGCAAAGGAGCGGATCTCTTGCTGAGACCAAACAACACTGCGTTTGATATCCTCTTCAGCTTGCTAGCCCACCCTGCACCTTTCTCTCCCTCAACTTTGGCTTGTACCGTTCCCAGTACCTCTGTTGCTCGCTGCGCTTTGGAAGTACTTCGTATCTTCCCGACAAAGTAGACCGATAGCTCCAGTCCAAGTTTTAATCTGGTACTTGCCATGACGAGGCAGCTAGCTCTATCTACAGTACCGGTACCGGTACGCAGGTAGAAGTGGTAATGCAATCCATTCATGTGGATTGAATCAATCCATTATTATTATACGAAAACAAAAAGTACACACACAATCCGTCGGCTCGCAATGAATCGAATGATTCAATCATTCTTTCACTGCGTGCGCTGACTGCTGTTGGATGTGACTCGTTTGGAGATTCCCTTTTTGAGACTCCTCCATCGGGACGAACGCTTGGTCTTTCCTTTCTTATCCACCTCGAGAAATAAATCTTGAGCATCGGATACCGCGTTGTTGCCCTCCTCCTCGCCCTTGGTGACATCCTTCAAGCTGCTCCTTCGGTACATGTTGAGAGAGGGCATGCGGAGTGGCGTCTTTCGATCCTTCTTGGACTTGTCCTTTTTGCTACCGCTGATCAAATCGTTGTTGTCGTCTCGTCGAACGTGTTCCAGTGACCGGGTTCGCCTGCGAGTAGTCGTGGAGCTCTTGTTTTGTTCTCTACCCGATCGCGTGTTATTATCCGATGTTCGTTTGGTCCGCAGTTCGCCTCGTTTGGCTCGTTCTTGCAAGTCTTCAATCTGCTCTAACGCTAACGCGGGGTCCATTTCACTGCGTTGTACGGCTGCTTCGTCTGCCTTGCCCATTTTGCGCGCAAACGCCTTGGATCCTCGACTGTGTTCCTTGTAAATGTGTCGGATTTCCTTCCAAATGTCTTCGTCCGTCTTGTTGGGTGTCTCGTAGCGCAAACGAAAATCGTTCTCTAACACGGCATGAGTGGCCGATTCGTTCAACGCCTTGCGGGCTTCGTGGTGTGCTCGACAGATTTGACGTTCCAATCCACGAGGAGAGTCTCCGTCCACTTCGACGCGGGCATAACAGGTAATGTAGCGTTGGACATCCTTGGCTTCGCCGTCTTCGTCATCCACCGCTCCCTCCAAGAGTTTCCAATAAGGAGTCTTGGACCAAGTCACGATGCAGTCTCGCATATTCTCGCGGATATCCACCACACTGCTCTGATAGTCATTCTCTTCGTCGTCGTCGTTGCTGTCATCCAATCCTTGCGAAGAACTCTCAATATAAAACGAATCATCCTTCATTTCTCGGATTATAAAGACATCATTGTTTTCTGCAAACTGAACTTTGCGGGTCTCTTTTGAATCTGACATTGTCTGCTAGCTAGTAGTAAACTAGTAGTGGAGTTGTGATGAATGGAGGTACTATACAGGTGCTACTACTTGCTTGTTGTTTCCACTCGCTTGCTTGGCAAACAGAAAATGAGTTCGGCGTCGTGGGGCAGCGCACTTTTAGCTCCCTGCCTCCACACCCCGCGACCACCTTTGATGCTTCAACTCGGACATTCAGTCACGACCACAACACGATTTAAAGACTGGCTTTTTCATTGGCTGCTGGGTGTCACGTTTTCTTTCTGAGACTTGCCAGTTAACTCTTCTACAGTCCACAAAGAATGTAGAGAAGGCTACGCTTTAATACCAGAGTTGCAGAGAGAGCTTAAATGGACATACTTCTAGTCTGAAACGAGAATATAAATCTTTCCCTTGATGGCCAAGCTTGGTTTAACAAATGACCCAACAAGAAGCCCAGTCAAGCCAGACCCTAACTCGCGGAAGTACTGTCCGTGGAGAGAGGCGTCCCGATAGCCACTGGCCGCCATGGACCGGTACTGGTACCAGAAGTACAGTACCGGTACCAATCCGCAAACCCGTTGCCGACGATGCCTTTGAATTTCCGCAGGAGTATCATCATGCAGCTCATCATGCCTGCTTCACACCAGCAAGCTTATGCAGCTCTACTAGCTAGCTGGTTGCGATCATGTTTCCTAGCTGGCTACTAGCTAGAGTAACAGCTACAGTAGCTACAGTGTACTCTGGTTCGTTTCCCCGTTTCCCAGCACAGAGATGTCGCCACAACCATGTGCAGCTACGTTGCAAGTTTGGCAATGCACCTATCAGGCTGTTGGCACAATGTGAACGGAGCCAAGGTTCGTTGTTTTCTTCCCGGTCCTTCCCTTGTTCCTTGTTCGCCCTTCGTTTCTCCTTGCAACCAGCCCTGCCTCCCAAGACCACAAAGGCTCTTTCCGACGCATTGGATACAATCCTTGTGCTTCCTCTCATCAAGGATACCAGTACTATAGATACGCGCAAGTATGAAGCAAGAGCCAATCAACAAGTTCTGCAAAGCTTCTTCAAAGGGCCATTGCCTCCTTTAGCTAGTAGCCAGGCAGCAAGGGACCCAACATTCCTGCTAACCCCAACACCATAGCGGTACTTTATTAGGAGGCCTTTCGCTCGCCCCTTGTTCTTTGTGGAGCGGGAACTTTTCGATGCTCCGAATCGCCCATTGTACCCCCCTTTTTCGTCGTGTGGCGCAAATGTTACGTGACGGCGGTGGACCATGAACGTTACTAAAAGAACCAGCGTTCCACGAGGCTTGCTTGCTGGCCATGGGAGCGTCGCGAAGGAGGAGGGGGAAGGGCGAGAAGCCAGACAGTGTCTGGTTGCTTGCGGGACTGTTGTTTCAGCGCTGTTGCGACCAATGGCCGATGGCTTGCCGTTGGTGCAAACCCCTTTTGCACGCTTGCTCGGTACTGGTAGGAAGTAAGCTACATGCCTAGCTAGCTAGTAGCTAGCTGGACTGAGATCCCGCACTCCGGCCGTCATCGTCTACTCCGGTAGGAGGTTTCTTCCAAGGGGCTTCTTTCCAAGGGGCGACAGCCAAAGCAAGTGCTTTACCAATCTGACCCTTCAGGCACTCCCAAACCGTACCTATACCAAGATGGCGGTGCGTGGAGAGATCCCATACAATGTTGTACCGGTATACTTGTAGTTAGTTGTACAAGAACCCATTTGGTTATTAATTATGAACATCATTATGTGCATTCTATACTCTGTAGGAGCAGAAGGAGTACTGCTTTTGTGCGGGAGGCGCTCCCAGGTGAAACAATGTTTGGCTGATCTCCAGCACTTCTGATCTGGCGGACGCTGGCGACGATGAACGTTCCACGATCGTTTTGTGGTCGGTGGACTGAAGGTGGCATCTCCTAGGTAACTGAGGCGACGCCGCAGAAGACGCCCCACTGGAGGACCCGCAAGAGTTCCATCTGGTGAGCCTTGGTGGTGGTGCTGGAATGGAACATGCTTCCTCCAAAAATTGACGAGACGTGTCCTCGCCGTCCCCAAGGCCGACAACGCGTGCATCGGCCTTTCCCATTCGCCTTGCAAAGCGACTTGCTGACTGCGAGTGTCTTTGCAAGAATTCGCTCAGTTCTTGGGCAAGTTCCTCATCTGTACAGTCCCCGTGCTGCTTCATTCGGCTCTGGTGATCCACCAACCCCTCGATAGCATGTAGACTTGCAGAGGCCCGTTCGTCGTCGTGGTTTTCGTTGAGGGAACGTTCAATGCCTCGGAAGCAGCCGGCATCTCCCAACTGTTGCGAGATGGCATTCATGCGTCTCTGAGCATCACGAGTTGGCTTTTCAAAAGTCCCTTCAAGGAGCTCCCCGTACCCTTGCCGCATCCAGACCCTTGCATTTCGTCGAGTCTCTACTTTCCAGCTCTTGTAGTCTTCCCGGTTGTACCATAGCTCATCTCTCTGGCTGTGTTCTTGTTGGGAGTCGAACACCATAATTTTGTTGCTGCTTTCGGCGAACCGGACACAGTTTATCCCTTTGCTCATCATGGTTGGTACGATCACTGCTTTTGGGAGAAAGGAAGGCTTGCTAGATTATTGTGAGCAAGCAAAGTTGAATGAGATGATGATGAGCTGTGAGCTGCAAGTTTTGAACTTGGGTGGTCGGGTGGTTCCAGCTTCCATCTTCCATCTACCAGAACCGGAGTTCACAAAACAGGAGCGTCCGAAAAGAGGCATTGCTCTAATTTTTCAAAGGCACAGGAGCAGCTCTCGCGCGTTCGGCGAATGAACGATGGTCAAAATGATAATTATTTGGGTTCCTCTTTGAGTTTGCCTTGCCTTCTTTTACGAAAGGAGATCTTATTGGTCCCATATTTCATGTAACCTCTTGATAAATGAGGCTTACTCGTAGTCGGTTGGCAGTTCATCTGAGATCTTATGAAGCGAATCCCATCGAATTCAACGAATGACCATTTCACCAGGTCCTTTAATAATACCTACTACATGTAGAGTAAAACCTAAAAACCACAGCTGAACCACGATGCTCTAACGCTCTCTGCTACATGCACATGTATGTAGTACAGGTTGTACTGTATGTACCATGTACGGGTAGGGTGATTTGTCCCTCACAAATTTTCACTTAGGCTAAGTGCTCGAAAATCCACTTAGGCTAAGTAAAACACTTAGCATACACTTAGGCTAAGCGAAACACTTAGGCTAAGCAATACACTTAGGCTAAGCCATACTAAGCAACTCACTTAGGCTAAGCGAAACACTTAGGCTAAGCCATACTAATCAACTCACTTAGGCTAAGCGAAACACTTAGGCTAAGTGATGCTCTCCGAGGCTCCTCAACAGCACAAGTCTCAAGTCTCCTCAACAGCACAACACAACAAGTCCCTGCAACAAGCACACACACAGCCACAAGGAGAGACACAACTATCACCCATCATGCCCCCACTTTCAGCTTCATGTGAACTGCTCAAAGAGCTTCACAAGAAAGAGTTTAATTGGGTTACAACAGAGATTCGAATTCAGGTTGCAACTTCCCTGGAGGATGACACCACTCATACTATTAATCTGGCTTCCACCCTTGGCTATGGTGTGAATAATCCAAAAAACCCAGACGACAGCACAGTCTTGGCTGCCCAAAGAATTCAACCAAAACTCAAGCATATGGCGCGAAACTATGCTTGGCCCACATTTTGTCAAAGCATATCATGAGCAAGGATTCCTTATAGTGATGAAAGGGTATGAGAAAAAACGTCACAACATCAAATTTGTATGTGCTCGTTTTAGATACCACAAAGACGTGTCTACTGGTATTGCTGCTGTTTCAAATTCCACCAAGCAATCACGACGCAGCAAAAAAATGAAATCTGACAGATTATGAGCTGAGAGAAGCTGCCACGAAAAGCATCACTTAGGCTAAGTGATTCACTTAGGCTATGTGGTTCACTTAGCCTAAGTAATTCACTTAGGCTAAGTGAATCAAATGTGACTGACTACCTGGTAAATCAAATAAGACTGAATTTCACTTAGGCTAAGTGGTTCACTTAGCCTAAGTAAATCAAATTGAATCACTTAGCCTAAGTGAAAATTCAATCACTTAGCCTAAGTGAAAATTTGTGAGGGACAAATCACGCTACCCAAAGTAGTACTGTAATAGCTTGTCTAATACACTCTAAGGGTAGCGCCTTATTAAATAAAATAGTGCTGATGCGAACTTCGGGGTATTTTCTAGAGCAAGGAGCTGAGCAAGGTCACTGTCCTTTCTAAAATTTGACCATCGCTTTGACCACCATGGGACAGCTCATGGGACCAAGGGCGCTTTGGGAGAGCTCCGATCCAGACTCCAGACACCGCTCCACCTGCTCTCCACACACCTCTCAAATTGGTCGCGTAAAAATAAATAAATAAATAAAGACACTTGAGTCGGTTATAACTAGATACTGGACTCGCACACTGGCCATCTAGAAATTTATATGCATACAGGTATATAAGTAAAAGTCAGGCAGGCCGAGAATTTGGTTCGTAGTAATTTATACGTTAAAATATACGTAGAATGGAAGCCATGGTAAAACATACCCCTTGGCCACTCGTGAACCAAAACCAAATCAAAGCCAGAAAGACAACCCAAATGAGGGAATGATTGCACCCGTCACCGGTGCAACAAGACATCGCCGCTAAGAACATGAGCAGTCATCCTAGTAAACAATACTTCCACTCTCGGCATACTCGAGCTGTCCACCACCAGTGCCAGAACCACCAACATCATCGCTGTCTTCCTCTTCGTCACTGCTGTTGTGGGTTAGTTGACCCAGACCTTCTTTGCTGGTAGCATCATCGTCTCCTTCATTGGATTCATTTTCTTCTCCTTCAGACTCAGACTCCTCTCCATCGTTCGTGGATGGCGAACGGTCTTCACCAGGTGACTTCATAGCCAAAGGAGACAAGATAACACCATCGGCATTAGCAATCTTGGCTTTCTTTGGGGGGGAAGTGTACTCTTCATCATCTTTTGCATCGGGCACCTGAGATAGAACCCAAGAGCAGGGACGAGCCAACAATTTATCAAAGCCACCATCAGTCTTTTCATCGTCGGTCTCTTCATCAGTCTTTTCATCGCTCTTCACTTCAAGGGTAGCTTCGCTTTTGTCAGGCTTGTCATCGGATCCTTCCGCAGCAACGTCCTGGACAGCAACATCCTGGACAAGGTCATCGCCCTTCTCCACAAAAAGCACACGAGTTAGAGTCCTGGGTGGACTTGCAACAGCCGGCAAAGGAAGAAATCGCGGGACAACTACTTCATCAGGAAAGTCCTCGTCGTCGCTGTCCAAATCAAGACCGTAGGAGAGCAAGTGGATCCCCCCCATGTAACGACGGTATCTGGCAAGATACTCGGCCTTGTTGACACCAAATTTGTCGCAAAAGTGATGCATGTGTTCAACGTCATTCACCGGATGAGGAAGGCAGAGACGTAGCATGAGCTTGATGTTGTTGAAGCAATGGTCGTAGTTCGCCTCCACAGGTGGAAGGGGCTGGGGGGATCCATCAGACATCCTGTAACGAACCGGCCAAGGTCCAATGAAGTCATGGGAATCCACAGCAAGTGTAGGATACCCGCGTTGCACACGAGTCGCGTTGATGCAGCGAAGGCGGTACTTGGCTTTCCCAATCATGTCGAAGCTACTGTCGGCAAGCTGCTGAAGATAGTGATCCACGCGTTCTCTTTCTTCGATGTACTTGTCCACATCGTCATGGTAGACCTTCCCATCAGGTGATGTACGAACCGGTGACCACATGACTTGCACATTTGCAAGGTCACCTTGGACGTCACTGTCCATCTTGGAAGCCACCGTCGGCGTCGAGAGTTTCTTACTGGGTTGTTCAGACATAGTTGGATGGCTGCAACAGGGCAAGGCAGGCAAAGAATGAGACTACCGACTGAGCAGCAACCAGCATCTACCCCAAAACTTCGTTGATTGGAGTAGCATTGGGAGTATGCACCCGCAAAAATTTCATCTGTCATTGCTCCGTTGCCTCCAATGAAAGACCATTCGCTCCACCCAAAGAGAGAATGAATGCAATCAAATTTTGCTTTGGAAATTCGTCTCATTCCAACTTGTCACTTCTTGCGCAGAAGGCTAGCACTCACGTGTTTGGTGGGTGAGTGCATGGATGCAACGGCATGGACGTGTAACTAGCTACAACAATGGTTTCCAATACAAACAAACATGCTATTATTGCGTGGGATCTTTAAATAGTTGCTACGTTTTCTTAAGCATTGTGTACGTTCTCTTTTTGATTGTACGTTGCTGTGGCCTCTGCAGTTTGCATCTTCGTCGCCAAAGTCTTCACGACCTCATAAGGCGTTGTGGTACCATTCGTGTTGCGTAGCATGCCACGAAATTTGCTTTGGTTGTCATAGAATTGAATGAGCAAGTCAAAGAGATCTTGCTGCGTCTTGCCCTTGATAAAATCGTCAACAGTTACATCTCTTGGTGCAAGGCGAAGGTACCAGATCAGTCGACACAACTGGCCTCTGTTCAGAGTAGACAGATAGTCTTCGAAACCATGCAACATTTTCGGAAGACATCGTCGCTTGTTTCTTGTAGAAAGTCCACTCTCGTAAAGAAGACGCCAGTTTCCCCGTGAATCAGATTTCGCCACTGACCCACTAGCATTCGCTGATGTCTTCGTTAGAGTGTTCACACTGGCATGCAGTAGCCCATGCGAGCTACGTAACCACACTGCTCCAGGACAACTGTAACCCAGATGCTTCACGCAGTCTTCACAGTCACCTACAATATTCCCACTGTGCCAGCTTAGGTGACAGATGGACTTCGTCACTGACATCATCTCATCAGCAATTGCGTCTTCTCGTGGGTTCTTGTTGCCGCGTTGCTTCATAATAGCCAAAAAAGGACGTTCGTCTCCATCGTAGGCTGCGCGAATGAGATTGATTCGCTGTTCATCCAAGGGTATCCCAATGCGATGTCGTAAATTCGACAACCAGCTTGAAGGTCCACCGGACTCGTTGCTACCGATACCAACAACATCAATCCCTTCGCGGACAAACCCTGTAAGTCCAACTGCCAGAACAGAACAAGTCTTGGGAATCTCGATTGTGCAAGGGTCAGATCGTTCGAATGCATCTGCTTTCAAAAGATTCGGAGCTGTGTGTACCAAAAAGGAACAAAGCGAAGCGTTCTTCGGACAATCGGCACCAATGCCCTTGATTCCGTGCTTGTTGAAGGCCTCATTAGGACAATTGGAGGGGTATACCCCTACTTCTCCTGTGCAGCAATAATTCCAATTCCATTTTGGATGGACGCAGTATTCTTTCTGCAAGTGATCGGCGGCAGCCTTCTCACCTCGATTGTTTCTCCAGTCATTGAGGTAGAGTTGCGTCACCGTTCTTCTCTGCTCTGGAGTTTTCGTCTTCGCGATGTTGCTAACGTGACGAAAGGCAACACTCTTCGCAAACTCTGGACTTCGCATCTTTTTGACATAGCTCTTTTTTTGCGCAAAGGCATGGGTGACGTGAAAGTAGCAGTTCAGTACTGACTCTCCTGCCACACAACCATCATCGCTGGCGTCATCTTCTTGCACATCGTCCTCTTTGCTTGCATCATCTGCCTGTGTTAGAAACAATCCACCAGCAACTGGAGAGTCCACGGAACTGTCTTCGTCGATTGCAACAGTGCGATGCCTCGGTACCTCATCAAATTCAGTGATGTCGCACACTGTTGGGTTCTTGTTGAAGAACACGTGGGAGGAGATGAAGGTGTCAGCATCGTCCGAAGTGCCCCAGTCGATCTGGAAGGGGATATTAAACAAGCTGAAACAGAGCTCGCGCAATGCGAAAAGTGTCAGGCAGTATGGATGAAAGCGTTCCCCACCTGCTCGTAAATACACAATAGGACGAAAGGATGATGTCACTTGGTCCTGTGGAAGACGGAGCTTCACTGACACACTCCCAACAGTGATTAGACAACTCTGATCTCGAATCATTCCACCGGTACCATCGGCACACAACTGTCGAGTGCCCTTCCGACGTTTCGCTAGATGAAGCAGTTGCATGAGCCCCGAGGGGCTAAATACCAAGAAGGCACCTTCAATTCGCTCGTATACGTCAGACTGGTTGATGTCATGTCTGGAAAGGGCCTGCTTTCGGTATCGTTCAAGGAGAAACCCAGCTCCGAGGTTGTAAGTGAACATGTGATGGCTTGTAGAAACACCGAGAGCATCAGCCAATTCTTCGGCTGTTCTGTAGTTAGCATGTGGGGAATAGGTTGGTGGCACCTCCAAATTCCAATTGGCCAATACCCTCATGAGAGCGTCGTTCGTTCGAAGATGTCGGTGTCCAAATAGCTTTGCGCTAATGAATGACTGTCTCTGATTGGCTACGTAGTTTCGCAATTGTCTTGTAAGATGTTCTCTTGGCTCTCTATCCACAACGTGGTGTCGATAATCCTGCAAGCATCCGTCGTTGTCATCGCGAATGTTGTTAGTGAGACATTTCATGATGTCATCTGCTGTGACACGAAGAATGGATCGGCCACGACTTTCTTCCTCTGCAACGTGCTTCTGTGCAAGTTGCAACAACACTGGGGCAATGCCATGCTGATCCTTGTAGTGTTGCGCTTGCACTTTCAACTCATGGTTGTGCGACACATTCCCTTTGCGGATGAAAACGCGAAAGCGTTTGCTTGGCACAGCTGCTGCGTCTCCGATATCTCTCAGCTGGGCTCTCCATCCACATCGTAGATTTCCACCCTTGTCGTCCTTGTCACCAACTCTACAGCAATACTTGAATACCTTGGTTCCGTCCTTGTACGAGCTCGTGCCATCTGCACGAATGCACTGTTTGCCCTCATAGAATCCACCATATGCATGTACAAGTTCTGCATGACCGGCAGTCTTGGTTGCGCATGGCTTGCACTTCATATCTTCGCAATAATCACCCACACGAGTTTGTGATGCACTGTGCTTGGATTGATGCAGTGGTGGGAGCACGGGGGCAGTGATTTGTGAACTCGGTTGATGGGCAAGATGGTGCGTGTACGAGGTTGGATGGACGTGACTGGCATAGTAATTGGGCGGCGGGACATTGTATAGGGTGGTGGTGCCATGATTGTGAGGGTAGCAATATGCCTGAGGATGCGGTATGGGTAGACCTTGCCTTACATGATTTCCATTTCCATACAGGTGGGCGCTTGCAATTGAATTTGTGGGACCGAATGCAGGAAAGCGAGGGTCCCAGCTTCGTGAGTGGGGCACCAAGCTGGGATACGATGGCGATTTCTTCTTCTTCCTACTCGCCATGGTGAGCGATTTCTGCCTAAGTGACAACTATTGCTTAGGCTGAAATGATTGCTACGTGCTCTGATGAGCAATTCGGCGACTGTAAGTGCAAATACGGTAGCTACTATTATTTAGATGTATTAGCGATGCAACTCAAAAAGCGATTCCGACTAGACCAAAATTGACTTTCATCCTCGCAAAACGGTGTTTACCCTACCCAATAGACCTGTTTGCGAGAAGGAAAATTCGCTTGGTCACTCTCCAAATTGTGAGTATCTCTTCGGAGAGGGAGCAGTGCTGGCTAGACACATTAATGGCAGCACAAGAACTAGCCGTCGCATTTGAATGCATAATGGCCGACCTGCTTTCGCGCTTATTTTCTGAGTTTTCCGGTACCCTTGGTATTCGCCCATTCATTTCTTCATTTGCCTCCAATACATGCAAGTGAGAGCGAGATGGCGAAGATGCTCTTCTATCAATGCGAGAGCCACTGCTGAGCACTGAAATGGTGGGTGCGAATTGTGCTGTTGTTGCTGTGGAGGTGACGTCTCATCAGCTGCTTTTGTTTCCTCTTTTCTATGCACCACATCATTGTCTTGGGCATAGTGTTTTGCGATCTTCATGAGGGGTGTCACAAGGGTTGTCCTTCTATCTTGGAGGGAATTGGAGTGAATCCCGAATTCTTGCCAACGGTAAGCGATACCCCACCGTTGTTTTCTCCGACTTCACCATCTCAGGTCTCACGCGTGCCTCTCCCATACTTTGTCTTCTCATTTTTTCTCTTCTGGCGCGCTGGCCTATGTGCAAGGCCAGGAGTCCACTACACCCACTTGAGTCACCGGCCGCTGGCCGGCGCTGTTTGGCTCTGGAATGATCGAACTAAATCGAATCCTTGATTCTCCCACGGAGACGGGTGGCATCGTTGCTTGTTGGCTTTGCTTTGAGCTATTGTACCAGTACAACTAACTGTGCAACTAACTGATGATGGTTGATGGCTGACGACTGACGACTGGACCGGTACTAATATAATGTTCATACGGAGTATGTATGTGTCGAAGGCCTGACAAGGCGACAGCCTCATCCCTCTCTTCTACGGTGCCTTGGTGATTTATTTGAGGCTAGAGTAGTCGTTTTCTTGTCTTCTTCAAGGCTTTTCAGAAGTCCAAGGGTAACAGAAAGAGTTCAAAAAGTAAGCTTGAAGTTTGAAGCGCAGCGCAGCTCTAATTACTACTCCCCTGGCTAAAGTCTCGGTAGCCGTTTAGGGTTCCATCGTCGTTCCCTTCGTTCGGATTGCATCGAACATCGAACATCGAACATCGAAGCAGCCTTCGCTCGGAGCGTTGGTGGTATTAATAGAGGCACAATTAGTTCGTCAAAAGTTGATCCACACAGATCATGGACCACTCCCGCCAACATGTCAAGTTGCCTCGAACATTGTAGCGTCGATGAAGACCAAGTTTGTTTGCTTCGCAGGAATCTGTTGTGGGTCGCTCGGGCACGAGCCGAATTTCAACCAGCCAGTATCTTCAACACGAGATCCCCCGAAGTGGAAATGTGCTACTGTTGCCGACACAGAGCACGCAACAACAATGACCACGGATTCGGAAGTCAAGACAAGTAGATCAAAGCTTGTTGAAGATTCGGAACAACAGTTACTGGCGGTGGTACCAGTACCCAGTACCGCTAGCAAAACGAAGGCTGTAATTGCAGTCAGTCATCATCGTCAGAACCCAGCGCCAGGCCTCTTTTGATCGTTTGATAGCGCAACTGTGTATTACTCCGAATGAGTTGAGCATCGTCATCGCAAACTAACCCACCAAAAAAAGTGCTCAGTTGGAGGAACTTTGACGACCCCTATTCATCATTGTCATCATTTCATTTGAATGACAACTCCCCATTTTCTGTTTGATAGATCTGCTGGCTCCACTGAATTCGAATGAAGATTCGATTGACTCGACTGAGTCACTCGAATCGAATGATTCGATTGATTCACCCAATCATTCACCAGTTACTGTACCGATACGGCTAGTACCGGTACCGGTACCGGTGGGCAGCGAAGCACCTTCATTTTTGCAATCTACTAGAGCAGCTACTAGCTAGAGCTACAAGTAGTAGAGCTACTAGCTAGCTAGGGTTCATTGTTTGTTAAACATGCATCTAGTCAAGTATTCTGTACAATCAGATTCTATGGTCGAGTGGGATCAGGAAGGAAAGTGAGAGAGAGGCCAACAGACAGGTACTGGTAGCCAAGCATAATCTTTTCATTCGGTTCTTTGAATTGTCTTCTTGGCTGTACCCTCTTGCTTTGGTTGTTTATCAACAGCTTGCCTTGGTTTGTTCTCAACCGCTTCCTTTGCTTGATTATAAACCAGGTTTGGTTTGGTGTCACTAGCACTCTTTGGCTTGTTCTCACCCGCTTGCTTTGGTTGATCATCAACCAGCTTTGGTTTTGTCTCGCCCCCCTGCTTCGGTTGCTTCTCACTAGATGTTTCTGGTTGGTCTCCATTCCCACTCTTCGGTTGGTCTTCGCCCACTTGGTTGAGCAATTCCTTGAGATTCTTTTCGGCTTTGTCCAAGCATGAGTGTCCCTTTTGACATCGACCTTGCATCAGTTCAGTCACTGTTGCAACTCGATTGGCAAAGATTTTTTTGGATGCTCTCTTGACCATCCCCACTCGAATGCCAAAATCTGAAGCGAGCGTTTTCCATAGACCGTCGGATTTGGTTTGTTCATCTGCTGTAGCGGTCATGATATCTTTCATTCCTGTACTGGTAATCGTCCGTGCTCGAATTGCTGTATGGGTCTTTTCGTCACTGTTAATTTGCTTCCAACAAGGTTCAAACTCATTGGCACCATGGTATCGGCAATTGGGATACTTCTCATTCAAACGCCAGTGATTGACCACAATTTCATTGTAGGGAAAAGGAGCATGGTCAAAGATTGAGGTCCTCTTTGCTTGAGGATCATGTGGCGCTGTGAGTGAGTTGACCATGGTCAATCCCGGTGTAACACAACGCTCCTTATTGTGATGTTCCGCCAGAATTCCTCGAAAGTCCTTGGTTTTTCCCAAGAAGGCATCCAAGTTTTTCCATTCATAGTGGTTTCCCACACAGAGAATGAACCAGTGATAGGAATCGCTGCGTTGTGTGGGACTATTCCACAGGTATGTTTCGGCAACAGCATGCTTTTGAATCTCTGACAGGGTATCCTTTTGCAGTCCATCGTCGGCATCCAATCCAGTTTCAATGTACAGCACTACGGATGCCTGTGATTCGGCATGACTCTTGTAGCTGCGAGTCAAATATTCCAGATTGCCCGTCAGCACCATTCCAGGATTGGCAGTTGCTTCCCCCACCAAATCGGGCAATGTGAGTTGATTGTCATTGCTCAGGATCAAATAAAAGTTGGGATGGTCTTTCAGAAGATCTCGTAGTTCGTTGAGAAGCCTCTTGTCCAACTTTGGATCTGTATAGACAAGCCAGGCAAAGTCTTGAAGTGTCTGGTTTAGCATGGTTGGCAGACAAAACGTCTTGAACAGTTCCAACCGAGACTTGCCCAAGTTGACCAAGTTGGGTTGTCGTTGCATGAAACGGGTTCGGACTACTTGCATCACCTCCAAGCCATGGGATGCTCGATAGGATGGTTCTTCATGGTACGTTACGGAACCCAAATTCCGAACGGCCGGCATTACACCTGGCTCGACCATGGCGCCACGACGAAATAAACGTAGGGACGTGGCTGTACTAACATCATGAAAGACTTTGCAAGTTCCAACTATCAAGAGCAAATACATCCATCTGGTCCGTGGGCTAATGGTTGCTCCTAGAAGAGACCCTCTTCTCTTTTGGCTGCCTCTCGCTTCAGAACTGTTGATATCTGTCGCGCGAGTGTTATTATTGTTGTTGTTGTTGCTGTTGCCGCTCACAAGGAGCTTCATCAAAATGTTCCATATTTTTTCGACAAACATTTTTGGTTGTGTTCCCCTTTTTGCTTTTCAAGGTAATGTTGAACTAACTAACTGAGCTGCTGTTTCTTACTACTTTTTAAATGGACGCGCCATCCATTGTTGCTTCCTTCCAGGCTATTTGGATGAGTGACGAGTCTCTGGAGATGAAAGCTTGCAGGGCCACAAGGAGACACTCGATGGTTTATGCTATGGATTTTGTTTTGCTCAGTCACAACAAGGCAAAGGGCTCGGCTACCGGCCACTTTTGCAAGCTCTTTGGGACCGTACCGTACTGTACCGGTACCATTGGGAGCAAATCCTGCATCCACACTGGTTTCGTTTCCCACGCCTTCTTTTGTACCGATTTGGTTTCAATCGTGGTTTCGTACAATGATGGGTGACCCCAATCGGTGCGGTGATAGTGCGGTACTGGTACTGTACTCCCATCTGGCTAGCTCCCAGCCGCTTTTAAAACGGGCCCTTTCTGAAAGCTGGCCTGTTTCCTCAGCTGCTGTTAGCATAGCTGTTGCTCCCATGTTACTTACATAGTACCTTCCTTCTTTGGGCATGGTTCGAGTTAAAGACGGGACAGTGCATCTCCCTGGCTGGCCAGCTCCTCTTCATTCAAATAGGGTAACTGGTAATGCACAAGTAGGATTTGATAGTATTACCGAGCAAGTTCTACTATGCAAGCAAGAAGACTAGCTGGCAAGGTAGCTATTAGTAGTAGCTTTTATTCAGCCATGCTTGGCTGGCTTGGATGCAGATTACTGACCTTTTCTGGGCGCAAGTAGTACCACTTCCTCTGGTACGAAGTCGAACCGCTTCTTGTCCATCGATCCACACTTGCCCTAACGGTAGAAATTGCAGTAAGCGCACCTTTCCATGAAGGGCGAGATTACGCGTAGGGTACCGAGGCAAGGCACGTCACAAACCCGATGAGGAAGAACCGGGCTGTGGTTGCCCTGGATTCGGCAAGGACACCCAAATAGGTGTTTGAGATATAGGTCCCAAGTTCCACTGCATGTAGGCGCCGACAAAGCCAAAAGACTCGTGTTTCTCGAATGATTCAATCGTCTCCTCGAATCCAGCCATGCCACCTAGCTTGCTCTCGGGTCACATGATGTGACGATTGATTGCGTATTGTGTGGCCCATCAATAGCAGCAGCATCCTATCTGTCTCTCTTTCTATTCCTCGGCAGCATTGTTGTCTTCTTCGCCATTTTCATCCACTTCTGCTTCTTCCTCCTCCTCTTCTCCTTCCGTGACCTCCTCCTGGGCCGTTTGCACGGGTGCTGCCAATTGCTCGGGTGTGACAAACACGGCATCATCATCCACCACCACAACTCCATTATTGTTATTTTGTGTCTTGAGCATTATTTGGTCTCGTCGTTGCCGCAATACTTCCTTGAGTCGTACATTTTCATTGTGCCAGAGGGTCCTCCAGTATCGCACCTTTTTCTTGTATCTCTTCACGGGATGTCTCCAGAATTGTTGTTGCAAATTGAGAAAGTGAAAACTAATGGGTTTGCTGGAATGAAATGCCATGGCACTAATATCGTGATCTTCGTGTCCTTCTTGATACGCATGACTGTGGGGTGCTTCCAGCACGACCGTGTGGACCAAATCGCGACTGAGAATATAACACTGGCCGGCCGCGTAGAGATGAAAGACTTTTCCAAAACTATTCTTGAAGAAATCTTCCGTTTCATCCAATGCCATTTGCGCCTTGCTGCGCGACTGCCACCAGAGTTTATCAATGGGGACTCCGGCGAGAATACCGGCATTGTACGGGGGTGGTGGCAAGTACGTGTGTGCCCAAGAGAAAAATTTGTCCATGTAGGGCAACGAATCCGAGTCCATTTTCCCGGCATAGTCGAGATCGTATTGTTGCATCAACATAGCGGCGTATTTAAACCAGGTTTGTGATTTTCCGTCATTCATGTTTTCTTGTATATTCAGGAACGTGACATCGGTGGCACTGCGCAAATCTTTGGAGCGAATATGATTGTGATTGTGATTTGTGGAGGGCGTCACAGTGATGGGAGCCGAATCATCAACCAGTTCGGTTCGAGCATTATTAGTCTTATTACCTCCCACAACAAAGGTATAAATGAATTGACATTGATACCGGAGTTCGTCGTTGGGAGCCATTTGAAAGTCGTAGAGCGAACAGACCCTGGTGTCATTGAACATGGGAAAGACTTTGAAGAGTTTTCGAAACTCACGTCGGTAGGGACCTTGAATGGCCTTGTCCATGGTGAAGATCCCCATGAGGACTCGCAGTCGTTTCTTCTTATTGGGGTGCTTCTTATTAGTAGTAGTACTAGTAGAATGGGAAGCATGATGGGTAGCAAGATGCTTGTGTGGACCTTTGGGCATGTTTTGCTTGGACAACTCGTGTGGTGCCATGTGCGCCGTGTGACCCTTGGATGATAATTGTCGTGTCGATTGTATTTGCTGTTGTTTTTCCAATTTCCAGTCTTGATGAATCATGTGATGATGTTGTTGCTCCTGGAGACAATTGGTCTGCAAATTGGCAGAATTGGCTTGAAGCTTTTGCAAGACAGAAAACCATCCCAACATGCACAACAGCACTGAAGAGGCAAACACAAACTTGACCCCTGTCACGGGGTACAGCAGACCCATGGTCTACTATTCTATCTAGCTATGATAGCTAGTAGATAATTGTTAGTTTGGATCTGTTGTCAACGCAATGATACTGATGGGCTGTATTTTGTGGTGAGGGATGTTGCCAGATGCTTCCGAACCAAATTAAAATTTCAAAAATTACCCAGTATCGCCAAAGGGTCATCATTTCTTCTTCACATTATGTCTTTGTAAAGCCGTAGTCAGAAACAGTGTCACCAAGTGTCATTATTGATGACTCCTTTCGTCATTTTTCTGGCTTGATCGAAAACCAAAAACCAAAGTCAGCCACAACTCCAACAACGACCACAACTCAAATCACAAGAAGGCAACACCATGAAGACCACTGTGTTTTTTATTATGGTGGCGCTGCTGGTGCTTGGGTATCTCCACTTGCTGACCATGTATGCACAAAGAATAGACAGCAGTGTCATTTTTCACCATGTTGCTGCTCGTAATAGTATTCAAGAAGAATTCAAGCAGTCTCATCAGTCACAACAATACCAGTCAGGTCCTCCTCTAAGTGATAGTCGTAGTGTTCAGCTCCCACCACCCCGACTGTCAGCCGCAGAAACCAAGCAGCTTCAAGAACTGACCGCTTTTTCTTCTCAGGAATTGCCTCCTCTCGTCCAACGGATACCAGACCATCAAGGACGTTCCATTCCCAAAGACAAGGCCACACTACTCCAACAACTTGCTGATCTCGACGATCCACAGATACGAGCCCAACGAGTCCTGTACATTATCACTCCCACGCACAAACGAATCACACAACGAGTCGATCTCATGCGATTACAACAAACACTCACATTGGCATCGCTCCAGTACCATCACTCACTCATTTACTGGATTATACTGGAAGATGCTCCCACCTGTTCCCACGCCGTACGCAACATTGCACAAGAATCCGGACTCTATTTTGCCCACAAGGCGGTCCACAGCAGTGATAACAACAATAAGAAGAAGAAGAAAAAGACGCCTCATCGAGGACTGGCACAACGCAATGCCGGACTGGAAACGGTACTCCAAGTGGGCAAGGAAGGAGTTATTTACTTTGCCGATGACGACAATGGATACGACAGCCGATTGTTTGCCGAATTGTTATTTACGCGACACACCAGTATATTCGCCGTGGGATTGAGTGGCGGAGCAGCCTACGAACGATGTCACGTCGATCCTACCACGGGAAAAGTCGATGCCATTTTGTCCACGTGGAAACCCAAATACAATGTGGGCAAACGCACCCGCAAATTCCCCATGGACATGGCGGGATTTGCTCTATCTACCACCGCCCTCGTTACGACCAAAGCACGATTTCGTCCTCAATCCACGGCCGGCATGTTGGAGACGGATTTCTTGTCGTTGCTTGTGGCGGATGTGGCGGAATTGGAACCCTTGGCCGCTAATTGTACCCGCATCTTGGCGTGGCACGTCAAAACCACCGAACCACAATGGGCACATAATCCCGAACTCGATGGGGACGGCACAAAAACATTTGCGCTCATTAAGAGTATGTTATGATACAGTAGTGAAGTGATGAACTGGAACGGGTTGGAAACATTACAAAACAACAAATTGGAATGGAACTGGGGAGTAGTTGTACATGGGGTTGGGGATACGTATACTACACAACAACAAAACATCTGAAGACGCATAAGAATAGAATGCTAGCGTCGTTGAGGTACAGTACTGTATCTGCTTGCTCTGGCTGTTTAGAGCCCCGGCACCGCCCTGAGCACTGAGTACCGATAGCTAGAGAGCGCATCAAAAGATGACGTGCAGTAAGCGCGGGCAGGAGAAGGCGTTCACAGTCGAGGTTGGAAAATTGAGTTCGCCCAACGGAGAAGGCATTTACAAGAGTTTAGTCTCCAGTTCCATTTGATTTGGAGGGAACTGCGAACCGTCCAATCTGAGTGAGACTTTGCCTTATTCGGTTGCTGGCAAGCCACATGCTGCTGCTGCTGCTTCAATATTCACGATGATTGTCTAGCCCAAATTGTCCAGAACTGCCTCGTAGTACTTGTCGTATCCCCTGGGAGTCGGATGGTAGGCACCAACGGATAGAACCGTAGGCAATCCAAGTTGAAAGCCCCACAAGTCGAGATAGTCTTTGGCATTGGAACAGGAGCCCATGGTCAAGTAGTCGTTGACATCGATAAACTCCATATCAACCTCGTCTCGTGGAAAGGGAGGAGGATTCTCCTGGATAGATTGCACCACTTCCTGTGAGATTGCGTTGAGTTTGCCAACGTATTCGTTGTCAAAGAAATCCGCTTCGGTGTAGGAAATCCCCATGGATTGGCATTTGAGCTCTCCCCGTCGTTGAAACAGTTTCCCGTACCCAAAACTCGAATGGTGGCTTCGTTGGCCTCGGAAACCAAATAGGTAAGAGCAGCCGTCAACTCTTCTTGAACCTGGTCCAAATTTCCCAGTAGATTGTCTGAGTTGGTGGAACAATCTTGCAGTGGATTCAAGGTGGTGAGCCAATGTTGAACGCAATTGAAGCTGGCACCGTTGATTCCCAGTGTCAGGAGAAACGTAGATCCGCGCCAATGCGTGGCTCGTTCCCGAGGATACTTGGCATTGAGATAATCAATTTGATCGTACAGATTCTCAACCGTGGCTCCAGCACACGCCACCATTTCAAACTCCAAGCCCACGTGTTGAGCGTATCGTCCCCCGGGACTTTGATCCAATTCTCAAAAACACCCTCGAATGGGCAATGGGAGAGCGGTAAGGCTATAATGAACTCCTTCAAAACTCGACATCTGCCCCATTCGGTTCGTCGTACTCGGAAAATGACAAGTAAAACCCCGTTCCCGACGAGTAGGAATCGCCCAATGACACCACCATGGCCGCTTGAGCACGATCAAGAGTTGTCGTCAACAACAACACCAAAAAGCAACAAGAAGGGTCAACATTGCTTGAGAAGGATTGGCGGCTCTGGATAACCCTTGTCATCTTGCACTGCTCTCTCCAGTTTGGGTGATATCAAAAGGTGCTACATATCCTTGGCTTTGATGATCAACAAGCATAGCGCACCGGTCCCTTGAAGTGGCCATTGCCTTTTCAAAGAGTGAACCAGTGCCGAGATGCGACTCCCACGCAGTCACGAGTCCTCATGACTTACGTCATTGATCAAAAGCACATCACCCCTTTGCTACCCGAAGCTTCACGATGATGATACCCCTCGATCGTCTTCCAAAGCCGTTGCTACCCTTTTCAATCACACCATTTCTAACCAAATCCCACGGCGTCGACCATGACAACAAAGCGAAGAGCAAGACCTGTTCACTTCGCAATTCTCGCCTAGGTTGTTCTAGTCATACATTATTGGCGGTCGGAGTTGCGATCGAGCCACATGACCGGTGTGTGGCATTTCAAAAAAAAAGTGTTCCGTTCAACAGATCTTTGTCATGCCATAAATTGTTCACCCAACACTTTTCCCCCTTCTCGCAGCATTTTTATATCCATCTGGATCATCGTGATCATTATCATGAGTGGCCGATTGGCAACCATGTCGTTCTTGGCACCCTTGCGTGCAAATCCCGCTTTTAACCATCGCCAGCATCACCATCGAGCCTTTATCGTTCCCGCCATGGCATCCTCTTCACCCAAAACCCAACAGAGTCGACGTTTCTCTGCCACTGCCAGCAATTTTACCGTGTACGAGTCCAAGGGAAACTACCTTGCCGATGCACAACAGTTGGAAGACCCTTCTTTGCCCCTTTATTCGGCTCAAGACTCGATCCCTCGCTTGCCCGTGCCTACTTTGGAGGACACCTGCCGCCGCTTTCTTCCCACGGCACTGCCATTGGCCAACAATAACGACCAAATTACCGCCAGTCTAAAGCAAGCCGTGGAAGAATTTCCAGCTCAAGCCAGCACCCTCCAGCAACGATTGCTGCAACGTGCTCAAGACAATGCTTCGTCCTCGTGGCTTCAGGAATGGTGGAACGCGCTGGGGTATCTCCAAGTTCGGGATCCCGTTGTGGTACACGTGTCCTACTTTTTCCGATGCGATGACGACCCCACCTTGGATCGACTCATCGTCAACCAAAACAAAAACACCCCCGCGTCCTACCAACCTTGCGTCGCACGCAGTGCTGCCTTGCTGCCCGTGGCCATTCAATATGCCAAGGATATGTTGTCCAATCATACCCAACCGGCAACCATGGGTCGACGGGGACAGCAAGTCACACTGTGTTCCTCGCAATACAAATACATGTTTCAAGCCTGTCGGATCCCGCAAAAGGACAGTGACACCTACCGTCTCTATTATTCCACCAAGAAGAATCAACCACAGCAGCAGCAGCAGCATGTTATCGTTGCCTGTCGGGGACAATTCTTTGCCATCCCAGTCAATGATGACCAACAATTGACACAACGACAATGGAGACAAGTGCTGCATCATTGTATTGAACATACCAACCCAACAACAAAATCCAATCTGCCACCTTCCTTGGGATGGTTTACCGGCATGAACCGTGACAACTGGGCAGAAGCACGCAAAGCCTTGTTAGAGCAAGGAGGTGCTCCACTGCAAGAAGCATTCACTTGTTTGGAAAGTGGCCTCTTTATGATTTGCCTTGATATAGATGATGAGATCCGAGACGATCGAGACCGGGCTTTGCAATTCTGGCACGGACGTGGCGACCGAACGTCGCTGGACTACCACAATCGGTGGCATGACAAGTCCGCTGCCATTATCGTCACGCAAAATGGAAAAATGGGATTCCAGGGAGAACATTCCATGTTGGATGGAATGCCCTTTGTGGACTTTTGTGATACCATGGTGGCACGGGGAACTGTGGACGAGGATTGTCTTGTAGCAGCAGACGAAGAACACACCAACAACAACAACGGAGAACCACCCTGCCAAGTCACCAACATTTTTCAACACGCTTTTGACACCATGCCGGCTACGGCACGGTCGCAAATTAACTCTGCTCTGTTGGATGCCCGTCACGAGTTCTTGCAAAACACAGACGCCTACGAGTTGCATGCGCAAAACTATGATGGCTACGGAAGCAACGTTATGAAACGGGCCAAGTGCAGTCCTGATGCCTATATTCAAATGGCAATGCAGCTGGCCAGCTATCGCATGTTTGGAGAACCACTGGCAACTTATGAATCAACGCAAGTGCGACGGTTCCTTCACGGGCGAACGGAAACTGCCCGCACCGTATCCCCTGCTAGTGTGGCGTTTTGTGAAGCCATGACGCCTCGAGACAGTCCACAAAACAGCGAGCTTCGAGCCCATCGCTACAAACTCCTGCAAGAAGCTTGCAACAGTCATGTACAGTATGTCCGAAATGCAGTTGTCGGTCAGGGAGTGGACCGTCATTTCTTTGGATTGTCCATGTGTTTGGGTGACGACGAGAAGCAGCCAGACTTGTTTTCTCATCCCTTGTTTGCCAAGTCCAAAAGTTATCGCATGAGCACAAGCTCCCTGCCCAATTGTGCTGTTGGATTCGGTCCCGTAGTCAGTGATGGATTTGGTTGCGGTTATGAAGCCAAACCGACGTCGTGCATCTTTCATGTGTCAGCCCTGAAAAAACATGGCTGGACGGAACCCATGGTAGAGCATCTCGGTGAAGCTTTGGATGACATGAGGGCTCTTTTCGACCTCGAGGAAGAGCTTCCGCCGCCTAGAAATAAACTATAGATGGATGTTTTTGTTTTGCTCGCAGACGAAAATGTTTCTGATCATGCTGCCCGATCACCACTGGTTTTCCATTGAAATACGTAAATGGTGTGGTCTCCATGCCATCGATGTCTGTTGGCTTCATTTTGAAACTCTCGAGGTACCGTTGTGGCCTCGGCATCTGAAGCCTCGCTGCCACCGGCAAGATAAGCGTCACAGGAAACAGATTCGACCAACTCAAAGCCTTTCTCTGGCATGGCTTTCTGCCATAAGGTTGCCACTCCTTGGCGTGTATTTCGTAGAGCTAGAAAAGCCCTTCCGGTGGAATCCAAGTATTTGTCGATTGTCTGCACGAAAGGGTCGACCATGGAATTGTGGTAAATGACATCTGATGCCAGAATCACATCAGCTTGTAGCAATTTCTCGTCGTCTTCTAGCATTCTCAGGCCAACGTCATTATTCCCATCGCTGCTGTCATAGCTATCCTTCCAATCCAACTGAAACAGCTCCAATAAGTCCTCTTGGAGGCCATTGAGCTTGGCAACAGAGTCCAACTGTTCCAAAGTAGCAGGTTCTAGGTCAGTTGCAATGACTCGCTTCGAGACACCTTTTTTGGAAGCAACCAGGGAAGGCAACCCGCAACCACATCCTAACTCAAGGGAAATCTTGTTTCGTAGTATGGAACCAGTCTTTTTGGCCAAGAAACGTGCCAGGCAAACTGAGGCACCCCAGACGACCGTGCCGGTCACATCATGTTCGACGCCTTGAAAAGCCGACGAAGCCTGTAAGAGCTGTAACGTCAAGTCGCCATCGATTGCCAGGGAAAACTCTTGGAGGCCCACGCTGCATTGCTCATCGTCAGCGTCAACATCGGCGTCGTTTACCGCTGATTTCAGAGGAGATTCAAATTCGTCTCCGGATACTATCAATGGAATCAACAGCCACATGCAATATAGACGATAAAGAGCCATGATGCACTGATGGTGGCCCCCCTTAAAAAGAGTACCAAAGGATACACAGGAGTGTCCAACCTTTGCCTCTCGGTTGGCCAACAGCAGAGGAAGTGGATCTTCGAGCTTGGATCTTGCCAACCGAGAAACCACAATCACGAATTGTTCACCAAAACGGGACTCAAGAGTTCTGGCCTCAGATGCTGATCCTTGCATTGCATTGCATTGCATTGCATTGCATTGCATTGCATTGCATTGCATTGCATTGCATGCATTGCATTGCATTACATTGCATTGCAAAGGAGAGGAGGAGGGAAGTTACCTATGGAAGGCGGTGGTGGTGGTGGTGGTGGTGGCGGGGGGGAAGAGGCAGAATTTGGCACTAGGATCCAAGGGATCAGGGGCACCACCTGAGGACCAGCATGGGGGCCAAATGGGCTTGACTTTGTGGGATCCACTGAGACAAATAAATATGAGTGGCGTACAAGGGCAATTGAAAGTGGTTTCTTGCATGCCGATAAACTGGAATGTTGGTGGTCCTAAAATCTAGTATCAGCTAATGAATAGTAGGAAATAATAGAGTGACTTGATTTTGTATGCCAGAGTTGGCAATCTATCAGTTCTACGGGTACACCCAGTGAGAAAGAGCTGAAAAGTTCCCATGAATAGAATGGCATGTTCAGGTGCAGCAAGCAAAGGCCACTTGGGACTTGGCTGGAGCAAATGGTTGTCTTTGGAATGAATCTACATGTGATGCAGCTGGAGGTCTTGCAATCCTGAAATGGTGGAGAGCGCATGGATGCCCCTGGGATTCTTCTGCTGCTGCTGGCTAGCAACTTCCGTCTTGCAACTCTGACATTGCAGATAGATAATGGATGCCCTGGGATGCAAAGACTTGTTCTGCTGCTGATAAATATGGTCATCTTGAAGTCCTGAAATGGTTGGGATACCCCTGTGATGCAAGGATTTGTTCTGCTGCTGCTATCAACTTGAAATTCTGATATGGATGTGAGGGAATGGATGCCCCTGGGATTAAAGAGCATCTCAAGAAGAAGCTGCCAAAACTGGCCATTTTGAAACCCTCAAAGAGTAATAAAGAATGGGCGCCATTGTCTGCATATGAATGTGATGAAGCTGCCAGAAGGGTCATCTGGGAGTTCTGAAATGGTTGCAAGTGCAGGGAATGTGCTTGCGAAAATTCAGGATAGCTGCTGCTGCCAGCAATCGACATTTGGAGACACTCACGTGGGCTTGTGAGAATGGTTCATGCCCATGGAATGAAACTGAATGTGCTGGTTGGGAGAGAATGGATGCCCGTTGGACAAAACAACACTCACAGCTGCAACTCAACCAAGGTGGGCATGAGGAAGTTTGCAAGCCTGTGGTTGCCCCAAATTCTACCAGAGTTGTCCTCAGCAACCCCCTTCGAAGTTTCAAGAGAACTTGTTGCTCGAAAAACTAGGAGAAACAGACAACGTACAGACCCAATCAACCACCTGTCTACTTATCTAGCTAGCAAGGGCAATCACAGCCACAGACAAATCCCTGTCCGGACGATTTGCAATCAAACTGCAGGTCAGCAATAGCACACCATTGAGATGGGAGTTCTCCTACCAACGTAGGGTTGCCCTGCAATTGCAACGTTGTCAGTTTTGGGTCTTGATTCAACCAATCGCTCGGGACGTCGCCCGTCAGCTCATTTTGATCCAAGCGAACATACGTCAAGGATGAAAGCATTGAGATCTCTGGAGGAATTGGACCGACCAAATTGTTGTTTTGAAGCGGCAATGACCGAATCACCATGTCGTCTTTGTCTTGCAATCTCCGTTGTGCGTTTGGCAGATTTTGGTCATCCTGTTTCCGGCACAGATTCAATGAACTATCACCATCATCATCCGCATTCATGAGCCAATGGCATTCCGATGTGTCGTATGACAGCCACCGTCCCTGTGTGTTCCAATTGTGCTGGTACGGTGGGTTCGTAGCGAAATACAAGCAGGCCAGTGCGAATCGTTGTCGTCTTCGTTCTTGACTGTACTGGTCCACCCAATGAGGATCTGCGTGAAGCCATCGAAATGCCGTGCTTTGTGGAGAATCCCAGATATGGTGAATTGCTGTGAGTGTCGATTCGGGCACGTTGGAACCCAATATTTCTTCAATGGGAGGACCCACGGCCTTGGGAGGCACCGTGGTAACGGTCCGACTTGGCAGAAAGGGATCTGGATCCCACCAAAGAAGGGTAAATGCCTGAAAGCTGAACCACACAACCAAGAAGACAGTGCAAATTGAACAACTGATGCAACAAGTTCGTTGGGGTGTTTCAAAGGGATTGTCCGGGGAAGGATTGAGCGCATATGCACTTGTCGGAACGGGCAGTAGTAGTTTGTCGCCGTCTGTATTCTTGGATTCGGAAAATTCATCTTGGAAGATGGACGAGTTGTGGCTATGGGTAGAAGACGCGTGAAACACGGCTGATCCACCTGTTGCTTCCCCTATTTCAATATCCATATTGGATAGACTTGTGTGAACCGTGTCGTCGTAATCCATATATGATTGGTTGAGTGGCAATGACTGCGCCATGTTCTCCTGGCCATCATCGTCGTTGTCATGATCATCATCCCACGAGATTTTCCCAAGAACCGCACTATCGTTGCCTCGTAAAAGACTATCCTCCGAATCATCGCCGAGAGGGCCAAGTTTTACTTTGCTCACAAAGCTGTTGGATCTCATGGGAGTGATTCGCTTTTTACTTGGTGAAGAAGTAATGCTTTCCTCTCCTTCTTTGCTGTTGGTACGAGCAGCAGGTCGTCGAATACGGTCCATGCTGCGACGGGACTCTTGTTGAGGAGATGCATGTGCGGACTGCTTTCTATGACGAAGCCCTTGTTGTTGTTGTTGGGAATGCGTGGATCGTCTACTACCTGTGCTTCCAACACTACTCGCGGCACCGCTCTCGGCACTGTTGGTTCTCCTGGGTGTTGTCTTAGTGGCTGTTGCTGTCATTTTGTCGTCATTTTCATCTTCTTTCTCGTGAGGTGAACCTGTGTTGTCGTTGTCTTGCTTTCTGGTTTGTACAACACTTGGATCATCCTCAAAACTCCATTTCGAACCAAAAACATCTCGCAAGTGAATGGATACAGATGGTGCTGCTGACACTACCGTATTTTCATCTCCTTTGGTGTTGTAGTTGGGATTCAACGGTCGACGGATTCGCTCGAGACTGGTCAGTTTCTTTTTTGCTGGAGGTGTTGTCGCTTGTTGATGACTGGCTGTGTTGTCTTGACCGTGGGCAGATTGATCCGTTTCTGTGTCATCCGCATTGTAAGTAGTCGTATGATCTACAGTTGGTACTGTAGTGGATGCTGGTGGCTTTCTATCATCATATTCTTCTTCTTCGTCGTCGTCGTGTTGCTGGTTTTGCTGGAAATGTGCTTTTAGGGGAGTGGGTGAACTGGTGGCTTCTTGACCATGGGATGATTCTGGCACACTTGCTGTTCCCGTTTCCACTTCCTCCTCCCCTTGCTCCTCTTTGATTACTTCTTGCTTGGTCGTTTCCTTGTCTTTGGCCTTTTTTCTGGCCCTGCTTCGAACGACGACGCTCGGATCATCGTCAAAGCTCCACTGGGACCCGAAAATGTCTCGCAAATGAATGGATGGATCGTCCAGGTGGCCTCCAAGATAGCTACCGGTACTAGTAGGGGTGCTCTTACTGCTCTCTTCTGATTCTTTGTCAGACATGTTGATACTGCATGGATACCATAGAAGGATAGCTGTGGATGCAGCTTTATGGTGTTGGTGTGTTGCAGTAGGTCAGCTCTGTCCTCTGCCGTGCATGGTCGTCCCTCCTTGCGACATTTGACTGTCTCTTGACATGACCCCGTAGATGACTCCAAGGAAAGCATCTTTCCTCCTCACTTTTTTCGCGTGACTCAAAACGCGGAACGTCAAGTTCTTGGATCTCTGAGCCGGAAAGCAAGTCTCGCTGGCAATCATTATTTTTTATTTGTGGAGGTTGTGTTACTATTACCTTCCATCATCATGTTCCAGGTATCGCTACACCGCCCTGTCAAGTACCGCAATGCAACAGGCAGTCTGGTTGTGACGCCAGAGGCCATGACCTTTTCGGCCGATGAACAAGAGCATGAAACCGTGCCCAGCATTGTCGAGGAATGGGATTGGAACCAACTCGAAAAAGCCACGGCCAACAAAGCCGGGAGCAAAACGGATCGTCTGCGTATCACTCTAAAGCAGGATAACAACAACAACAACAACCGTAATAATAGCAATACCGTCATTTTTTCCTTTCCCAGCCGACAAGAACTGGAACGAGTCAAGGTGTTGGTCAAACAACGAATCAAAGAGGCTGCTGCTGCTACTGTTGGTAAACAAAACGGCGATAATATGATGAATGACAATAGTCAAAGTGAAAGATGGGAAGACAGCATGAATGCCAGTGAACGATGGCCGGAACCAGTAGAGCTTCAAAAGATTGAAGAGGTCGTCGAAGAAGAAGAAGAAGCGTCACCACAAATACCAACAAAAGCCACCCAAAATCCAGTGTTCAATAGTAGTGGCAACAAACCAGAGGAATCTGCAGATGCCAGAACCAAAAAACGACAATCTGCATCTTCCTTATCCAATCTCAGGCATGGCACAGATTTGAAGCAACGTGACCGGCAGGAGGATCAACGACGCGACAACGATTCCAACACGGCAACGTCCGGCAGCACGGGGTCACCACCGCCATCCAGGAAACAGCCACCCCACAAGAATGTAGAGAGTGACAGCGATGACTTCTCAGCAGAAGAGACCAGACAAACACAGAGGTCAACCAGACGTCCTTCATCACAAAGGAAAAGGAGCTCCTACAAGGGAGTTGACAGTGATGATGACGACTTTTCAGCCGATACCAGACAGACACATGAGTCCAAGAGGGTCTCGTCATCACGGAAGCAAAGGAACTCCTATAGTAGAGTTGACACTGATGATGACGATTTCTCAGCAGATACAAGGCAAACACAACGGTCCACCAGACGTCCTTCATCGCAAAGAAAAAGGAGCTCCTATGCATACAAGGGAGTCGACAGTTGCGACAATGACGACTTTTCAGCAGATACATGGCAAACACAGCAGTCTAAGCGAGCAACGTCATCAACGTGGCAACGGAACGCGAAGAAATGCACTAGTGGAGATAGCGACGACGATGACGACTTCTCGGCAGAGACTAGGCAAAGCAACCAGTCGATGCCAAGACCCAAACCAAAGACAGCACATGCCTATGAGGGTGACGACGACAGCCAATTCTCAAATGACACACTCTCGATGGCCTCTATAAAAAGTCAAAATAAGACAATCGGAATGAATATATCTGCAAGGGGGGACGCAAGAAGGGAATGGCTTCCCAAGCCCATCCAAGAACAGGAAGGAGAGGAGGAACAAGTGGCAGAAAAGACGAGATTCAGCAATCATGCCAGGACAATTCCTGCACCATTATTTCACAATGATGAGACTTTCAACAGCAACAATCTCCAGAAAAGCAGTAGGATGTATGCTCCACAAGCAGGCAATCAATCCATTGGCACACTCTTGTCACCTCGTCATGACGAAGAAGTGGCCTTCTCCGAACCCAATGACCATGCAGCTGCCAACACAATGGAAGACAAGCCTCAGAACTCCTTGCATGATCGATGGAACAATCTTTCCCTGCATAAACAGAGGCAACCATGGGGTGTTTGTTGTTGCTGTTGCTGCATCACTATCATTGTCATCATTCAGATTGTCGCAAGGGTGGTGCTGGTTGATGATTACGATCATGATGGGCTCCGGTATTTTCAAAGGGATTACAATGGTATCGTTGTCAGAATGCAGTCCTTCCGGAGCTTCTCCTCGGATCATGCCATGTCCCTGTGCGAACAAGGCACCCAAACACCGACTAGAACGCAGTATTATGAACCCAATGGAATGATCGGATTTGGCGAACCAAGGGCTGAAGTCAATTGCAATTCACGAAAGTTGGAAATTGAAGATGGCCGGAAATTGGATTTGCCAGCATGTTATCTTCTCCAGGAAAACGAGGCTGGCCTGTTTGATTGTCTTGACGAAGACGTGGCAAACAATGGACAAGCTTTTTTGAGGCAAGTGCGGTATTCAGAACAAGGATGCTCTGCAGTTAGAACGAGCAATTGGTTTCCCATTGGTCCATACCCCACTGAAGTCTGTTGGACTGATTCGTACGAAGAAATGGTTCCCAGTGGGGGGTCCTTCAAGGCATCTTGTGCTGAGGTGCCGGGGAAACTTGTGGTACATCGGTGGTTGGAAAGCAACAGTTGCAATGGGCGTCCAGATCTCACCAGTGAGCTGTCTTTAGATGAAGGCACATGTGAACCGCAAACATATTGGAGAGGAAATGAGGTCCGATACGTTGAAAGCAAGTGTCCAAATAGAATAGTTGTTGAAAACTAACACACACAGAATAAGAGCAAGGGCATTCCTCATTCCACATAAGTACCACCTCCAGGTGTGTGCCTCCCCAAGCAGCCATTTTCTCTCACCCATTTCCATCTTTTTGTAAGCGGTCTTGGCCGGTCCTCACGGCATCTATCTGTGCATCTGTTCCATGAGCCCGGCATCTCAAGTTCACCACACTGGAACTTTTTCCAAGGTCAGGGGGGAGGGGGGTACCGGTACGGATCGTGGGCTGTTAGAAAGGTATTTTCGTATGACGGACAGACGACTCGGGATCCACAGTCACGGTTCGTGATTGGGGATGTTGTGACTCAAATCAGATGGTATCCGATCATCATCAGATGGCCAGGTGTACGAGGAACGAGGACAATGGTCGTCTAGATGATGCAACTACAAAGATAGGAAGTTAGGTCGAAGAGATGAATGCAAGGAGCGATGGGACGGAGCAAATGAATGGACGGATGAAGGTCCATAGGTTTAGTAAAGTGGGAAAGCCCTCCAGGGCCAACCATGCACTTCAGGAAGATAGATCGACGAGATCTATCTGCAGATGAAACTGCGAGAAACAGAGGATCGAAAGATCCTGGTATATGTATGCATATCGGAGCTCAGTTGTAGAGCTCACAATCTGAACGAGAGAGAAAGAGAAAACGAAATGAATAGCCAGTCTACTAGACAGTAGAGCTGGAAGGATATTGATTAAATTAGAGAAATTGTGCGTTCAAGTTCACACCTTTTCAACACGTTTTAAAACGATAGCTATCAGGAAAGAGTGAGCTTGGATCCAGGTTGTCAAACAGAAAAGAGAAGTAAGTCAAGATGTCTACGGAGGTAGAGGTATCATCGTCGAGCAAGTATCCCATCTTCGATGGGAAAGATGAGAAGTTCAGGTTCTACAAGGTCAAGATGATGGCCCATTTATCGAAGTATGGGTACGTAGAACTGATGAAGGACTCTACGGAGATCAAGCCGGACAACTGGGAAAACCCTACAGGTGCAGGCAAGTTGTCGGATGACGAAGTGGAAAAGGTCGAGAGTTTGCAGAAAAAGAACAGCAAGGCTGCTGGAATACTGCTGGACTCGATCAATGTGGAGACCATCGAAGGGCAAGTCGCTTTCGACCTACTGGCCTCACACCAAACGACTGACCATGCTGCTGGGAAATTCAAGGGCATGTGGGAGTCCATGCTGGACCTCTACGATGCTGAAGACAGTGGTGAGGTGGCAGCTCGACGAACGGAATACTACGCAATAAAGATGGACATCAAGGAGAACCCAAAGAAGTTCGAGATTGGACTCGACGTGAAACGCAAGAAGCTAGCAAAGGACGGGTTCAAGATCTCGGACGAAGAATACATCAAGGACCTTCTCGAGAAGATGCCGAAGAAGGAAGGAGAACTCGGAGTGTATCACGAAGTGAAGAAGAATGTCCTGAGAAAGATCAAGACAACAGGACATGGGATAACGGTAAAGAGTGTGGTGAATGACTTATGCGAAATCTACGATGAGATTAAGGCACGGAACAAGTCAACGGACCACAGTGGCGAAATAGCTTTCATGATTGGAGGAAAACAGTTCAAGGGCAGATGCAGGAACTGTGGGAAGATCGGACACAAGCAACAAGACTGCCCAGACAAGAAAGGTTCGAACGGAAGAAGCTACGGACAAAGGTACCAAGGAAAGACAAACGGTAAATTCAACAGGAACAATGGGAGCAGTGGCGGATTTCAAGGAAAGAAGAAGTTCAGCGGAAAGTGCTTCCACTGTGGCAAGATTGGACACAGGAAATCAGATTACCTAAAACTCAAAGCGGAACAATGAAACGCAGAAGGAGCGAACACAGCACAAGAAACAACAGAAGAGATGGCATTCATGACGATGAGCGATGAAATATGCATGACATGCCGAGGAGTAGAGTTGTCAGACGATGAAACAGGAGGAGTAGAAGAAGCATCGGAATATGAAGGCAAAGAATGGGACGCATTCTGGGACAATTTTGGAACGCACATGAAGACTGGATGGAGTTTGGGTACACGGCATCAGAAGTAAATTTGACGGGAGGACTAGGACAGGCATCTATTGATCAAGAGACTCTCGCATATGACCCAAGGACTCAGGATCCAGCAAAGTACAAGTATCTGTTCACCAAGCCAAGCACGTTCGAGGAAGCTTGGGACCACCCGGAACCATTTCAACGAGAGAAGTGGAGGGAGGCGATCAAAGGCGAGCTAGACAAGATGGAGAAACTCAAGGTCTGGCGCAAGATCAAGAGATCAAGAATGGAGGAAGGGAGACGATGTGTCAAACACAAGTGAGTACTGGAAATCAAGCGGAATGGAAGATTAAGAGCTAGATTGGTGGCCTGCGGCTACAGCCAGGTGCCCGGAATTGATTTTGACAACATCTACAGTCCGGTGGCTAACGACATCACCTTCCGCATCATCTTGATTCTACTACTAAAGAAGATGGGAAGAGCAAAGGCAATTATCTTCGATATTGAGACAGCATTCCTACATGGAGACATGGACGTAGTCATCTACATGGACTGCCCAAAAGGACTAGAACATCAAGACGACGAATGTGTCATACTGGACAAGACCATCTATGGTGCTTGCCAGAGCGCACGACAGTACTACTTGAAGTTTGCGAGTGTCCTGGAAGACTTAGGATTCGTTACGTGTCCTAGTGATCCATGCCTCTTCATGCGGAACAAGAATGGGAAGATATGCGTGATTCTATGTTACGTGGATGACAATCTCACCATTGGAGAAGAAGACGATATCAAGGAAGTGCTTCAAGGGATTAAAGATCGAGGCTTGAACATGACCATAGAGTACGAACTCACGGACTACCTGAGCTGTGAGATTCGGATGAATCCCCGAAAGGATGCTGCATGGGTGGGACAACCCCACATGATCAAGAAGATTCAAACCACATTCGGAGAGGAGGTACAGAAGCTACCCAGCGTACAAGGAAATGCTACGTTGTGTAAAGTTCGTGTTGGACTCAAGGAACCGTGGACTTTTGATGAGACCAGAGAAGAACGAAAGACCGTGGAAGTTGGAAGTGTTCTCGGATTTGGATTGAGCCGGAGACAAGAACAACAGAAGATGAGTCATGTCCATGATGATCTTTCTCGAAGGTGTACTCATTCACTGGAGGTCCAAGCTACAGAAGGTTGTAGCATTGTCGAGTTCCGAAGCTGAGTTCTACGCGTGTGGCAAAGCAGTGCGAGAAGTCCCGTTCATCGCGCAGATTCTGAAGTTCCTACAGATCAACGTGGAACTACCTGTGCAAGTGAAGATCGATAACGTGGGTGCTATCTTTATGTCAGAGAACAAGACAAGTGCGAGTCGAACAAGGCACATGGATACGAGGTGGTACTACGTGAACCAAATGCAGCAGGACGGCCTAGTGAAGATTGATTTTGTTCGCTCGGAAGACAACGTGAGCGACATTGGGACCAAAAATGTCAACGTCGAGACCCTCGACAGACATGCACCAAAATTGACAGGAGACAAGGAGCAATTGGTTTGAGTTGGTAAGAAGGTCGCTGCCATCATCGCGAAAACAGGAAGGATGTTAGAAAGGTATTTTCGTATGACGGACAGACGACTCGGGATCCACAGTCACGGTTCGTGATTGGGGATGTGTGACTCAAATCAGATGGTGATCCGATCATCATCAGATGGCCAAATGCACTACGCTAAGAGCTAGTGTGAAGATCTTTCGAGTGTTTTGAGTTTGAGAGAATGAAAGTTATGAGAGAGAAGAGAGATTAGAAAAGTCTATGGAAAAAACTTAATCAACGAGAGAGATCATCATCAAAGGATCGTAGATCTGGCTTCCCGCGGGAGACTATAAAGTGTGAATAGAGGTAGGTTGTGGTAGTAATCCTACGTCTCTCCACGATCCTAAAACGCGAAACGCGGAAGATTTGTCTAGCCTGGACTCTAGTAGCGTTTGAAAGTACTCCACGCTGGCTAAATATCTAGAGGTTGTTTTCATTCATCAACCTAGTATGACTAGCGCGGCATTGAGAAACCCTGTCTCAAAATGACTATTCACGAGAGACTCAGTCATGAGTCGAACTCAAAAACTATCTAG